TTTTTTTCCAGGTCAGCTTTGGTAAAGTTCCAATGGAAATGCGTCTTCCTATTCGGTGCCCTATTAAACGAGACTTTTTATCAGGAATTCAGATTGAATTTAAGCAGTCCCCTCATCAGAGAAGTTTAAGGGCCAGATTATACTGGCTTCAGGTAACATTGCTATCCTCAACTAAGTAGATACTTATGATCACTTAGAGAAACTTGGAAATGAAATTTCTTTTAATTTATTACTTTCTAAAACAACATTGTGGTTTATGTTAAATTGCTATGTTTGGTGGTGCTGAGAGTGTAGCTTGAGTAGAGTGTTATAGCATAAGGAGGTAGGTTCAACCAGTAAAATTAAAAACATAAATTTTTGTTTATATATTCGTCCCCTTCTCCCACACATCCTATGGATTCAACATCTCACAGTCTAAGTCCAAAAGACCTGGTGACTGTTAAGATTATTAGGAGACCTGGTGACTATTAAAACCATGAAAGGATCTTGTAACTATTGAGACTGTTAATCTGACAACCTGCCATGGGTGTTTTCTTAACCTGAGATGTTGTTTTTAAATGTTCTTCCAGTTTGTTGTGAGATCCCCAATTAAGAGTTTCGTGTGTCATTCTTTATGAGAGAGTAGAGCTTTATTGGAGCTTGTTTGGCGTGCTTGGTTGCTAGTCCTCCTCCTTTCCATGCCCTCCATCTCCCACTTCCTTTCTCTTCCTCCATCTCTATCAAGTGTTATTTAGGGTATTTTTTTTCTTATACTACTTTTTCTAATTTAATATTCACTCTCTAATTTGATATTCTACTTATATTTTGTTAAACTCCTGGAGTCTGAATCTCACAAGATTCCTAAGTACAAACATCTGTTTTGATGTTTCACAGGGTCAGTGCATTTATGAAGGTATTCATTTCTTTTAATGAAGATGTGGCCTTGCTGGGGCATGAGGATATTTTCACGTAGTGAAACTGCTAATGCACCCACCACCCCCACACCCTGTCCCCGTACATGTGGATGCCTCATGGTGGCTCTTGCTGATCCTCCCTGAAGCTAGAAGCTTACATCTGATTTACTTGCTTAATGTATGCTTTTCTTCTAGGTTGATAATCAGTTACCAGGCACAATGTTCCCTGTTGTATTTCATCCAGTGGCTCCTCCAAAATCTATTGCCTTGGATTCAGGTAAAAAAGAAAGGGAGGGAGGGAGGGAAGGAAGGAAGGAGAAGGAGAGGGAGAGGGAAGACAAAGACATATAGACATTTTATTTATGAAAGTTATTAGTTTGATCTAGTATGAGATTGACTTTTTTCCTTTGTTGTTTTCCTTTTAGAACCCAAACCTTTCATTGATGTGAGTGTGATCACAAGATTTAATGAATACAGTAAAGTCTTACAGTTCAAGTAAGTGAAGTTTTCCACTCTTTATCTGAAGGAGTTTAAAATGAGGATCTATTTTGAATATAAAGTTTTTTATTGAATGTGGTTTCTATACAAAAGTTATTTTCCAACTGAATATATTGATCTAGTTTGTGGTTAGCAATTTTTTATACTACACATTTTTAAAAAAATAGTCTGTACATATTGTAAAATGCAGAATTCCCTTAACCACTTCAGTTATTCCAATTAGAATATAAAGTAGTGAAATATATCTGTGAGCTGTGTTCTTTAAATCAGCTGCCTTGAACTTTACAAAGCAGATGACATAGGCTGATCTAATTTATCATCTTCACTGTGACATATAATATGAGCATTTGGGACTGTTAGTGCTGAGTGCTAAGGCAGCAATGTTACTTCAGTTGCAGTTTTCCTTGTAATGACAAACTCAGTAGACTTTGATCTTATTAGCATAATGTTAAGAAGAAATACGAACTTACTGTTGCTTTGGGGTAAAATCAACTTTAACTTTGAAAATTAACAGGTTTGGTTGAAATCTTTTTAAAGAATTTTATTTTTATTTTTAAATTATGTATATGTCTGTGTGTGTCTGTGGAGGCTAGGAGAGGGTGTTGGTGCCCTTGGAGCCGAAGTTACAGGTGATTGTGATTTGCCTGGTGTGAGTGCTAGGAACTGAACTTGTCCTCTGCAAGAGCAGCAGGTGCTCTCAACTTCTGAACTATCTTTCCAGACCTGAAACCTGTTTTTAATATTATTTTCCCCCCACAGATATTTTATGGTTCTCATTCAGGAAATGGCCTTGAAAGTTGATCAGGGGTTTCTTGGAGCTGTTATTGCACTGTTTACCCCAACAACTGACCCTGAATCTGAGAGAAAGCGGGTAATAACATTTCTTAGGCTAAACATGAAAAAAAGTTAAATTAGTCATTTTTAAGCTGGTTTTTTGTTGTGGAGAAAAAGTATTTAATTCTTGATTTAATTTTTTTCAGACGAAGTTAATTCAACAAGATATTGATGCTCTGAACACAGAATTAATGGAGTCGTCAATGACTGATATGTCAATTCTTAGTTTCTTTGAACATTTTCATATTTCTCCTGTTAAGGTTTGTTATAATTATTATATAGAAAATTGACTATAATTGCCTCAGAATTTTTAAAGGGTCTCTATACAAATGTAACTTTATTTGTTACATCAGATATTTGATGAGAATTTGTTTGACTAATTGTAGCAATTAAGACAGTCCTATGTAACATATGCACAGCCATAATTCCCAGAGAGAAACTACCAGAGCATGTTCTCTAGTCTTGAATTAATAACCCCTTTACTCAAGGAAGAAGCTGACAAAGGCATTTCTTAATTAAGCGTAGAAGTGCTCCTCAACGTTTAATGTTTTGGTTGCACTTTGTAACAACTATCACTGTCTAAACAGAGAGCTATAATGGGTGCCCCAGCCAGAGTGTGAAAGCGCTGAAGTAGGTACTGTACTGTTAATGTGGTGTTTTCCCTTCTAAATCTGTGTGTAACTAAGGGAGTGGAAAATGGAATACCTTTCACTTCCCTGATCTTGTACTTTATGAACCCAATTCCTTTTCCCCTTTTGTTGTTCTTTTTAGCTCTTTCAGGCGAAGGTGACTGCTTAGTAAATTCACAAATGCTATCAACTATAATGGGCTGAACTTGTGTAATGGGCCAGATTTAGATTTAAGTAACTCCCTAAAATACTGATGATCCTTTACATTCTCAAAAACTGTTCACAGCACTTTAATTTCAGTTGTATTTGCCAGTCTATTCAGTTAACAGAGAGAAATTATAAAATAGAATTATTATTTTAAATTGATATATTAGTTTAGTGGCATTAAATTTAAAGTTGTTTTGTGAGATAAATTATATACAGTTTCATTCTAATTAGTAAGTGGAAATCAGTTATTAATGGGATTAAGCAATACCTTCAACAAAAATTTACTGAACACCTATTTCAAAATTGCTTGTAGGAACAAAACAGTTCATGGAATTTATAATCTAGGGGAGACCAAAGACGGATAATTTACCACCTCATATTCTTAGGCACCATAGAAATTATGCCATGAAGTTAAACACTGAAGACCATGAGCAAGTTTATTTTCTTCTTTTTTTCAAAATATTTTATTTATTATTTTTATTTTATGTGTATGAGTG